TCATCACAACGTCTGCTTCACAAGATCTTCCTCCTCACTGCTTCATATTCCTTTACCTTCCATGCAGTTTGGATATCCTCCTCTGAGAATTACCTTGCTGATGCCCTTTCTTGTTTTGACATGCCTCGCCTTCGCTCCTTGATCCCTGCCTTCTGCCACCAGCTTCCCGCCTTCCCCCACCACCACCAACTTGGGCGGACAAGGTTAGTCAACCACCAGAAGTTGCCTTCTACCTCTGGCATGGCCTTGCGGAATCTACCCGTGCCATAAATGACACCGGGTGTCACTCCTTTGAGCACTTCATTGCTTGCAAATTTGGAGCCGCTGCTCCCTACTCTGCCTCTACCAGCTACCTCCTCCAGTGGGTTGGACCTCTAGCCCCTGCCTGCTCTTTTCAGACCATCAAACGCCATCGTGGTGCTCTGAAGTCCTTCCACCGTGACCTTGGCTACGACACTTATGGTTTTGACTCTGCCACTCTGGAGCATGTTCTTCGTGGCATTCGCTGCTTCCATGGTGATAAGGATCGTCGCGACCACCTCCCTATCACTCTTCCTCTCTTGGATGCTCTCCTTACTCCACTGAGTAGCCCCAGACTCCCCCGCGGGGTGTCTGATCTTCTGTTTGCCACCACCCTTTGTGCTGCTTTCACTTTGGCCTTTGCTGGGTTCTGCCATTGTGGTGAGCTGACTTATGATGCCTTTGATCCTTGCTTCTGCTTGAAGTGCAGTGATGTTCAAATGTTTGATGACTACTTCATCTGCACTCTCCCTGCTTTCAAGACTGACCCCTTCCGGCTGGGGGTTAGCCTTACCATGGCCTGTACCAATCTACCCTCTTGCCCCTAGGCTGCCATGGAGTCCCTCCTTTGCTCCTCACCTGGCTTGGCAACTGATCCCTTATTCCTTGGTCCTCCCAATGGCCAGGGTGGCTGTCATCCTTTCAATCGGACTCGTTTCATTGCTTGTCTCAAAGCCTGCCTCTCTGCTGCAAATATCTCCAGTGCTGGTTACTCTGGCCACAGTTTCCACTGTGGGGCTGCTACCTCAGTGTTGGCATGTCATAGTCATTATTCGTGACTGTGACCAAAATGACGTTGGTTATTACCGAAATTACTAGGTATGACCACGTGGTCACTGTAGTCACAGTCCTTTCGCTAGAAGGGCAACGGAGCTCAAAATAGCAATGGAAAATGCGGAATGTTCCGCCATATTAAATTTAGCGTGATGTTTTGCACGCCACCGGCAAGGATGTTGGCATTTCCCGTTTGCCACAACTACACCAATATGAACCTGCTAAACTGTTTGAAAGCAGGTTATGGGCTCTGCTCTGCATGCAAAAGATTAGCATAGGCATTAAGATACATTATAGAGCCCACTACAGCCACTTAGATCTTGGTTAGTGTACTGCAGGCACGAAATAATAGTTGTACCCAGCTGCCCAGGCCCTCAGCCACCATATATACTGTGACTACTGACCAGATTACCATCACAACAGTCAGTTGGTCATTCCCACAGTATTAATGTAGTATTAACGTAGTCACTCCTGTGCTACCTGGGCTCATCTTGTTGGCTTGTCAGATGCCAACATTCAGCATCTAGGCCATTGGACTTCTGACTGCTACCGTCTCTACATTGACACCCCACCTGCCACAGTTGCTGCCCTCAACCACCGACTTTTTCTCCAGAACCCCTCTCAACCCCTTGGTCTTTCCCCTCCACCTACTCACCTTGTCTGGTGGGGTGATCAGGCTCTTTGGTCTGCTCTCTGGGCCACTTGGCTCTGCCTCATCTGCGGACAACCTGATCCAGCTGGCCTCTGTCTGGGTTCTGGCCCGAGAGCGATCACTGCGAGGGGGGCTGTATCCACCCCCCTTCCCGCACTCCAATATATCTGTCTCTACATAGCCTCAGCATTCCCCATTTTCCAAAGACTCGCGGTGTTTCCCACAGATCACTAATGCAGTAATAGTCAGTCAAACAAGAGACTACTATATAATTTCTTATTTGTCATTCAGAACAACTGCTACTCATTCACTGCAGCAAGTGTTCCGGGACTGTGTGGTCCATTTGAGACCTGGCCGAAGATGTCTGAGGATACACAGTACATATTAGTGACAGTCAAAGTGAGTGATTCACAGGCGATTCAGAGCTTGGATTCGAGTATGGATTCTGGTACCCAGAATCATGATTCGGGCCTGAATCCTGAATCGTGTTGATGTGACTCTGGAGGTCCATCGACGCCCCTGAATTGCAATTGAGCACGCATACGAGGGTACAAATTTGTTACTTTTTGTTACTCCTATACAAGACTGGTGCCCACTACAAAAATTATATGGTCTTCATCTAGTCTACCTCAACTATATACCTCCCTATAGTATCCCTCCATCTGAGTTGCGTTCTATCACTCTATAGCCATGCCAAGAAGCCTCCAGGTCCAGACAACTGCACAAAAGGTAACAGATGATGAGGGCATAATCAATCAGTCACTGCGTTCAGGACACGGGTATTCACAGTACGAACAGATATGAGTACAAGATGTAATCTAATCTATCGGATCAAGCAAGCACATGGCCTGCAATGAGTTCGCGTACGCGTGACTAGATCAGAGCACGTCAGCAGATCACACACCGAACGCGTGATGTACGCGCGCATACGAGGAGACGCGTCTACCTCGAGCTCTCATAGGTACTCGCGCTCCTTACACCTGAGCCCGGCTAGAATGTATTATGACTTTAATCGATCTCGTACTACCAAGCCGCTGCTCAGTGCCTGGAAATGCTAAGTCCAACACTCTAAACACCCTCTAGCAGCCTCAGACCGTGGGAACGCTTGCGGTGAAGGCGCAAGCACTCCCACACACCACTGAAGACAACTCGGGCAAAGAGGAACAAGACAGATCCAAGTCCCTCGCTCACTCGCCTCTCCTGAGTCCTCCCCCCATCTTGTTGTCTCCCCCCTTCTCCCCCTTCATTCCTGGGTGCCATGGCTTCGTTATCCACCAAGAAACAAAATTACCGCTGTTACTGTCAAGACTGCCACGGCAAAGTAGTAAGTCGCTGGGAGAAAGAAAAGCACCAACGAGAGGAAGTTCTGCGAAACAACAAAATTGCCATTCAAAATAATCAAGGGGGTACTTCTGCCGTTCAGATCCCGGGGAATCCAACTGGGAGCTTGAGCCATCTACCGCGCTATCCCACCCCTTCGGTTCCTCTCGCAGAGGGATACCTAGGCTCTCCGCTGCCCATCGTTGCTGATGCTCCGAGTGCATCCCTGCCACAGGTGCCGACTCACAGACCACATGAGATAGAGTCCGAGCAGCCCCACGATGAAGATATATTTAACATGGACGTTGATGTAAGCCTTCTATCTGTTCCCGAGCTCGTAAGATGTATATCAATTGATCCTATCTTTACTTTACAGTATTCTCATGACCGGCAGCATGAACTTATACGCTCGCCAGGTCATCTGACCGAATGGCACTCTTAGTCCTCCAGTGATTCTGACTCGTCTAGCAGCATCAATCAGAGCTCTATCGAGGCTGGGTCTCCTGCCGACGACTTTCCCAATGATCACGGCTCGGTATATGCGCCCTCCGCAAGGTCCACCGAGGATCCCGATCGACAGGAGGACTCGAGCGATGACCATGCATCGCTGTATGCGCATTATCCTGCCTCCAACATTGAAGCCTCTCCTGCCCCAACCGCTCCCGGACTGCCTACACCTACTGGACATCTGAACCTGGGACGTCAGAAATCTGCGCAGCCCACAGCCCCTGAGGACAAACCTCTTGCTCAACAACGAGGTCTGCGTGCGCGCAAGGTCCATGTTCGAACGGAAGTCTTGACTCTTCAGGAGCAATCGCAACTTGGCACTCGACAGCTTGGTCTCTATGACAATCCAGATGACGGAAGCGATGTTCAGGATCCTCTTGCCTCCAGCAGATTTGCAGCGGGTGAGTCCAGGACCTCTTGCGCTGCCCCCGTGCTCGACATTCCCCCTCTTGAGCCTTGCGAGCCCGCTGGACGGTCTTACTCAGAGTCGCACCACTCTTGGTTCGTGCGCATGGTCTTGATTCTAGTTGCATTCCTCAATATCAAGTATCACGTCACTTTCCGCGCGTGCTCACTCATCCTGTGGACAATGCGGACCATTTTTATCGCCCTTGGACACCTTGCGCAGAACGACAAGATGCCGACAACGCTGACATCAGTCATCTACAACTTCGAGCTCGAAGACAGGTTCCAAATATCCCCCGCCTGTCCGGTGTGTCATGAGCTCTTCGCTCCCTCCAGCGGGCCCGATTCTACATGTCCCCATTGCGATGTAGGAATATTCCAACCACAAAACCGGACCTTGTTCGAAAGTCTCACTGGGCGATCTGCTCCGCGGCTGTTGCCTAAGGTTGCTGTACCGATCTCCCCTCTGTCAAATCTTTTAGTTGACTTTCTCGCGGAGGGCGAGAATGAGTCCATCTGCGAGCAGTGGCTTGACTACGAGCCCAGCGAGGCCGGTGAGTATCACTCGATGCTGGATGGTGACGTGCCGAGAACTGTCAAGGACAACAACGGCAAACGTTTCTTTGCTCGCACCTCACTTTCTCAACCGAATGAACTTCGGATCGGAGTGACACTCAGTCTGGACTGGTGAGTGCAATCTATCTAGCGCGTTTCCACTTCCCTATCTCATGATGATGCAGGTTCAATAAGAATACATCGAACTACTGTGGAAGTCACTCCATTGGCATTGTCTCATTCTGCGTTACGAATCTCCCGCCTGAATTGAGGTGCGTTTGAGTTGCTCCATCGATCGTGGATGTCAAACTGATTTCTATGAAGATATATGACGTCCAACCTATTGATACCCGTTATCATACCTGGGCCTTCGGAGCCCACCGCGGAACAGCTGCAGAAGTACCTCAAGATTATCGTTGACGATCTTATCAAGCTATTTGAGGAGGGCATTATGATCAAGACACCTCAGTACCCCGAAGGTGCGCTCCACCGATTCATCTTCAATAGGGTATGTTTGATTTTAGCATCATTCTCAGGACACCTCATGCGCGTCTTCCTACTGGCCATTGTCTGTGATCACCCGGCCATGTGCAAAGTAAGCGGTTTTGCAGATCATGGGCACAGTGAGGCTCCATGCACCAAGTGCAATGTCCCTCATGACAAACTCTTCTCCGAGAAGTCGCTCCATAATGGTGCGTAGGTTTGACATTGATCTATGAGGATAAATACTAATAATACATCATAATGAAGGCTAGGAGCCTCGCCACGGTGAGACCCATCGCGCAAGATGCTTTACCTGGCAACGCCTCAAGACTCAAGCCAATCGCGATGTATTCTTTGAGACATTTGGCTCGCGGTGGACCGAATTCGCGCGCTTGTCCTACTTTGATCTTGTGTGGTTCACGCTCGTTGATCCAATGCATAATATCCTACAGGGAATGGCCAAGAATCAGTGGTATGCCCAGTGGATCCAGAAGAAGACCCTCAGGGCTCCAACAGCAAAGGAAGGTCGTGAGCTTGGCGTGGTCCATGAATTTCTAGAGACGGTACGGTTTTGTACGCATATATCCACTTTAACTAACTGTCTATCTTAATTTGAGTCACCACTATGGGCCGGCCGTCTCCCGGTACGCATGGGTGAGCCTGCAGGGGGTGCTCTTACAGCGGATGAGTACAAGTTTGCCACGACTGTGGCCCTACCAATGATTGTATGTGTTCTAATCATGTTGCCGATCAATGGCTGACTGCTTTAGTAGATTCCTGTCGTATGGGATACATTCCTCGCATCTGCACAGAAAGACTTTGACAAGCAGCAGAAGAAGCACAGGGCTGACATTGCGGCATATGATATAGATATCAAGGCGTGGAAGGAACGACACCCTGACTATGAGCAAGAAGCTGGTCCTGCGACGCAGAGAGCCCGAAAGGGTGTTCCACCTTTACCTACACCTGCTGGGACTCGCACGGATGGCCATCCTAAGAAGCGGAAGCTAGATGAGGCCGACGACCCCATGCCGGCACCACCTGACACTCCTGAGAAGCGGATGCACAAGGAGGAGCCTCTCCTCTTCCTCCGATTTGCCACGGCTATCAAGATATTACTGGGCCGGCCAATTGACGATCGCGCGATTGTGAGAGGTCTTACGCTACTCCGGGACTACCTGCTTCAATACCGCGAGGTGAGTGTTTGATATTCTCAGGCCATTTGTATATCTGAAGGATATTTGTCTCGCAACAAGCTCTATGGTGAGAAGGCCATGAAGCTGAACCATCACTGGGTCGTACATCTCCCCGACCAGATCCGTGATTATGGCGCTGTCTACAATTTCTGGCTCTTTCTCGTGGAGCGACTCAACAAGACTCTCAAGAACTACAACACTAATCATCACGGTGGCGGGGAGCTTGAGGTAACACTTATGCGCACATTCCAGCGTGAATCACGTGTACGAGCTCTGGTAAGTCAATGTCTCCATATCTATTCGTAAAACAGTACAGCTCTGATTACAATAGGCCTCCCAACTGTCTAAGGACAGCAGCCTGCATATGGCTGAGTGCGCACTCGGCGAGAGGGTCATGGCAAAACCAGGTGAAGACCGCGGGACCGTGGAAGCAGCCCCTGTGGAGAAGTCTGCTGTGGCTGACGGTGCGTAGTACTTCTGTCCAGGTTCACACTACCCAGCTGACGAGTGCTCCTACTTCTACAGCACTCTTGCCCCTTCGCCTAGACCTTGGGCCAAAGGTTTCTCAGGTGCTGCAGGCGCTCTCTGGAAGTGCAATCATTGCTCTGCTTGAGCATTATAATGCTCAGGGGCCTCGCGTGCACATGCCTTTGGATCGTGAACCACCGCTGATAAGCCTCAGGATCGTCTGACCCCCGAAAATGCGGATTCAGCACATCATACAAGCGCCCCGGAGCTTATTCGACACAGCGCTCGCACGCCTCTAGGCTTCTATGGGCTCTAAAAGACTTTTTCTATTTAGCTCCGGACTTCCCAACATCCTCGAGGCGTACTCGGACCCATTCCGCGATTTATCTCCGCGCACCGAAGCTCCGGAGTGACTTAACCAATGCGACTTCTAGCTGCATTAGCTCCGGGACCCGCGGACACTTCTATCGAGGGGCATCTTCCTCATGCCCACCCTCCAGCACTCACTCCCACTCGTTTCCGTCAAGATACCGAAGGTGCGGATGCATACGAGTCACCATAAGGTCAGCATCAGTCAGCAAATGGCCGGAGGTAATTAACACGTGACCGGCGTGTCGCACGGAGTGATGGGACCGCTTGGGTCAGGTGGCGGAGCGTCGAGGCAACCT